TTGGGTGCCTTGCCGATGGTGCATGTTGATCGGCTCTATAACATGGTACTCCCAAATCGGCTTTTCTCATCGGATTTCGGTTACTTTTTTGGTCGTCAAAATGATAAACGGAAATGTGTGCACTGTGCAGGGCTTCCTGCTCACTATTCGGCTCGCTCGTTTCTCACAACTGAACTATAGGAACTGTTAACCCTCGCCGGCACAGGCCATTTTGCGTCCTTCGACGGCACAAGGGGGGGGGGGGTTACGCTTACGACCCCCCTCGCGTTTGACCCTTAATTGAGCTAGAGCCTCGCGGAAAAACATCGTGTAGGTCGTCACGAGACGAAGCCAACGGTACACGGTTTTAAGCTCATACTAGGTCAAATGGTGACCTCTGAGGTTAGGTCAATGACCCCAAAAGTCGGGAAAATCGGGACCTGATGGAACGTCGTAAAGTGTGGCTGGCGGCTGCCATGGATTTTTTTTTTTTTGGTGCTGATCACGAATATCATGTCAGTCTTGATCACAGATGATGTCTTCATGCATTTAGGCCAGGTCGGGTCAGGTCAGGTCAGGTCAACCAGTAGGGATCCTGCCGGGTATTCGTAGTAGATTTCAACCGCCTCTGAAAGCTTCGTAACATGTTACGAAGGCACCAAAACTACTTCGTAAATGTTCTAATGGTTGCTAAGTCCGAATTCAGCTCCAAAAACAAACATGTAAAACTCGAAAAAGTGAACCGAGGTCAGCAAAGATTAATGATCTGACCTCCTTCAGGTGACCTTGACACCCATCCTAATTCATGGGACCAACATCATATCACATGCTTGAACGCTTGAAACCACAAAAAGACTGCAAACGCGCGGCTAATGCGAGCCGGCCGACATACGCCGAATCGCGATTCCGGCCAAACATGGTCTCGAGAAAAGGCCACAGGTCAAAGGTCATTTGGGTCAGTGTCATGAAATTTTCAGGGTAGGTTTAAAATTGATCAGCTCGAGGGTACTGAAAGTTTCGTCGCGATCAGCGGCTTTTTACGCGAGTTATTTTCGAAAAACCTTAGGGAGCGGTTGCATCAACCCCCCTCCCCCTGTGCCGGCGAGTGTTAAACTAAGAGGCCCCATTTGTCGGCTAGACGTCCCACACCAGTCTGAAGTCTCTATGGATCTCACGCAGGGTTCTGCTGGCCCACGTCGATATTTGGATATTTGAAAGCCCCATTTAGGCCTCTGAGGGCCCACATTGGTTTTAGAAGTCCTATGCTGGAAACTATGATGGCCCCACGGCCCTGGGTCTCTACTCTCTAAAGTCCCAGTCACTCGTTGAAGACTCCACACGGGTGCTTAACCGTCCTCACCGGCCTCCGAGGATTTTTTTCTGGGCCAAATTGGTCCGGAATCAGATTCTTTAGGCCTACATTGGCAACAGATAAAAACATGCAGATATCTCAGAGTCCACAGTAGTCTGTAACGGTCCTACGAGAAGTCGTACAGAAGCTTCTCAGGACCCAGCCGGCTTCTGAAAACCAAAGCCACTCTGAGGACCAAAGAAGGCCTCTGAGAATTAGTTTCTCACTGAGAAACTCCAGGGCGGCCTCCGTGCAGGGTCAAGCCCGCATGAGATGATCCCACATCGGCCTTTGAACATGGAGCCCCACTAGGCCGGTGTGCACCTCAGGAGTCTGTGTGCATGGGCACTCAGAGGCAGTGGCGGCGGAAGAGAGGGTGCAGGTTGTGCAGGTGCACCCCCATTCAATTAAAGTAGCGGTGCAATTTTTAACAGGTCCCGATTTTCCCGACTTTGGGGTCATTGACCTGACCTGGAACGTCAACCGATGACCTAGGACCATAAAATTGGGTGTCATCGGCTTCGTCTCATGATGGGTAACACGCTCGTTTTTCTGCGAAGCTCTAGCTCGATCAGGGGCCAAACGCGAGGGGGAGTCGTACCAACCTCCCCCCCCCACAGTGATGCAAATGGGGTTCACGAGTGGCCATAAATACGAAAAAGGCCCAAAATTAAAGTTCACTTAATCGAAAAAATCGTAATATGGTCAGTCAGGCAAATGTTTGGGGTGTCTGAAAAAGTATGATTTTAATGTTCTTGTCAAAACCGGCCTCGTGTATGATTGTCAGAAGTCGAGACATTTTCGATGTCGTAAAATGACTGTCAGGTACTTGAAATTCAAGTGCCGCTAGCGTGCGTTCATGTCATACAAACTGCAAAAATTATACATGAAAATGATCCCCGAAACCTGCTGCTTCTAATGCCACGTCATAAAAAGCCGTATCTATTTTGGTTTGGCGGTGAGCTAACTATTTGTAATCATGTTGCAACCGCAGTTTTTTACCAAAATTATTTGCTTTCAGTTCACCTACAGCACTTCACACAGTGTGTGCCCGTTAGTGCACCATATCATAGCACTCCCTAATGATTAATCATTTCTGAGTCGCATAGTGAAAGAATTAAGAGCCGTTCCATGCGGGTATGGGTCAGGACCCTAATTAGAGCTGAGCTGACGCTTAATGGGTCAGCAAGAGCACTCAGAGGCCAGCACAGGGCTATCAGAAGTCGGAGTGGGGCCGTTATGGAGATGTGTGATGTGTGGCGACTCAGGAGCCCGTGTCTCCGTGAGGTGCTCTCACGAGTCCTGCGGGTCTTATATCAGTCGAAATGAGGCACGCTTGGACCCTGAGCGGCCACTAATTGGCACTGCAGGGCCTCTCGGGCCCATAGGGCACCATGCATCTAATGAGGCGGCACGCGCCCCTTGTGTCCCCCCCCCCCCGCTTACGCTGCGCTGGCTGCGGCCATACAGGTAAATCGTATTCTAACCGTCCCTATTCCCAAGTATAGGCGGCGGCCGATTCCTGGCTTGCGCAATATGACTGCCGTCGTTACGCAATACGGTCAATAGGGTTGAAGCGGCATTGCTCCCTTGTGGTAAGAAGCAACATATTTTTAGACAAAATAAAGGCAATGACAACTAAATTGAGGTTACTAAAACGACTCTGATCACAAAAGTACCTAGTTACTAGGAAGGCTTTCCAATCAATTTTACTTAGTTCCTCGTTATAGGCATAAGAAGTGTAAGTCTGAATGGGGGGGGCATACTTGTACTGAATGCCCCTCAGGCTCCTGTCCGGGGGGCATATGCCCCTAACCTATTAATTTGAGGACTCGTTTTAGGGCCTCGGGCGGGCGGGCGGGCGGATGGGGTCTGGGGAGACAGATAGACGGACGGACGAACATACGGAGAGACGGATGGACGGACGGACGGAGAATGGAGAAACGGACGGATGGATGGACGGACTGAGAGACGGAAGGGTGGACGGACGGACGGAGAGACGGACAAAGAGATGGACAGACGGACGGGTAGAGAGAGAGAGAGAGAGAGAGAGAGAGAGAGAGAGAGAGAGAGAGAGAGAGAGAGAGAGAGAGTGAGAGAGAGAGAGAGAGAGAGAGAGAGAGAGAGAGAGAGAGAGAGAGAGAGAGAGAGAGAGAGAGAGAGACTGAGAGAGAAAGAGAGACTGAGAGAGAAAGAGAGACTGAGAGAGAAAGAGAGACTGAGAGAGAAAGAGAGACTGAGAGAGAAAGAGAGACTGAGAGAGAAAGAGAGACTGAGAGAGAAAGAGAGACTGAGAGAGAAAGAGAGACTGAGAGAGAAAGAGAGACTGAGAGAGAAAGAGAGACTGAGAGAGAAAGAGAGACTGAGAGAGAAAGAGAGACTGAGAGAGAAAGAGAGACTGAGAGAGAAAGAGAGACTGAGAGAGAAAGAGAGACTGAGAGAGAAAGAGAGACTGAGAGAGAAAGAGAGACTGAGAGAGAAAGAGAGACTGAGAGAGAAAGAGAGACTGAGAGAGAGAGAGAGAGAGAGAGAGAGAGAGAGAGAGAGAGAGAGAGAGAGAGAGAGAGAGAGAGAGAGAGGGTGGTGAGAGAAAGGAGGATAAGACTAATGAAGGAAAAGGAAAAGACTAACAGAGACTTCAGGGAGGACGGCAAGGAGACTGAGATACCTACAGAGAGGAACAGTAGCGGCGGAACACCTTCAATTAAGGGGGGGGGGCACTGCCAACTTTTGGTCCCATTCTTTCCATGCAACGCCCATAGGGCTAATGTTAAAATGCCAAAATCAAAGGGGGGGACGGTGCCCCGGTGCCCTCCCCGTTCCGCCGCCTATGGAGAGGAAAGATGAGTGAGCAAGGGATTTGAGAGATAGGTAAAGAGACAGGGGAGAAATGAGATTTTATTGCTCCGCTCCTAATAACACTTCCTAAAATAAAATATAATTGGCCGTAATTATCGAATAAGAATCGGAAATTGTCAATTGAACGTCTGATCCGCTTACATTAATCGACAATCCGCCCTATACCATGTTTGACATGTTTGCAGTTTGCACCAAAGCCAGCTTGCAGGCTATAGCCTATACATCGAGGCAGTGGTATATACTATACATCCCGGTGAATTCCTGCATATAGCCGAGCCGAGACCTCCGGCGGTATTTTCCCACGATCAGCCGGATTTCAAAGTCGTGTATTTTTCGTCCATGGCAGGCGGCCGGCGCAATCTCGGGGAAAGAGGCGCTCCAGTAACAAAAGCACGAGCAGATCACCCAAATGCCGGTGGCCGCGATAATTTCTCTAGTTTCTGAAGAATTTTCGGGACCCATGCTCTTTTCATACTGGATCGCGTGTGCCTTATAGAAACTGAAAAGTTCTTCCTATATCAAAAATATAGAAAATAATCTTTTGTTATAAAAAGGTTTTATTTTCTTTGCTGATCATTTTGAACATAAAAAATCATAAACCCATTGCAAAAAATTAATTTCGTGAAAGTGAACTATTTCCTTTAATCATGCGAGATGGTGTCTATTAGCGCATTTAGGTCTTCGGCTTTTGGGGGAGGGGTCAAATCACCCTCTCGGGGCTTTTTTTGGGGGGGTCATGACCCCGTGGATCCCCCGCAGGATCGGCCACTGACCAGCTGACCGCCCCACCCCCGCTGCCCCCCCACGGCAGGCCGGCCGACCAGCCGAGTGAGCGGCGCACACGAGCAGCTGGTGCGGCGCGGCGCCTCCATGGAGCAGCACAACGGCTGGGAGCAGCCGGCCTGGTTCGCCGCGGCCGGCACCCGGCCCGCCTACCTGCCCAGCTTCCGACGCACCAACTGGCACCGGCGCGTGGCCGACGAGTGCGCCACTGTCATGGACAGGGTGGGCGTCATTGACCTCACACCATTCGCCAAATTTTACCTCTCTGGTAAGCAGAACGCCGCCAAACTGGCGAGATCGGCCAGCGAACTATGGTAGGTACTAGGTAGGTACATTCGGCTACAGGCTGATGGTCCACTGCTCTTATTCACCGAGTTGAGGCGGGTTCCTATGGCTCAGCGCTGGCAGCAGCCGCCTGGTACCGATAAGCTGTGCCGCATGACCCGAGAGTTAACCGGCACAGCCTACCCACACTGTATGACATTCCACGTCAAGTCGCACAAAATGGGCTATTTTTATTTTGCACCTTAGGTACCATCAGCGATTACATTATAAATTTGTCTCTCCGGAAAAATATCGATTTTTTTTGCACATTCTGACCACAGCTCTTTTAAATATAGAGCATTATGTTTTTGAAAAATATCGCACCTTTATATTTTAAGGCCTATATCTTTGGATGTTCATGTTGGATTTCAACGAAATAAACTACATTGTTAATCATTTCTTCAACATGTATTTGAAATGACCTCAAATATGACTTAGAAATTTGCTTAACTCTGGTCTTAAGTACAAAAATGAAAATAGCAAAAAACACGTCACCTCCGATTTGGCTCATATATATATATATATATATATATATATATTATATATATATATATATATATATATATATATATATCTATATATATATATATATATATAGATATATATATATATATATATATAACGTATCACTTAAG